TGTAGCCAGTTACTGCTTGTCTTGAATACGGCCCGACGGCTTAGGGTTTAGGGTTTAGGGTCTGGGGGTTAGGGCGAAAACTCTTAGCAGGGAAAGGACCCTGGGTTGGGGTTTGGGATTTGGGGTTTACCTTAAGCTACCAAAACCCCCCTTTTCGTAGGGTGCGTACAATTTCCATATTAGGCTCACAATCAGAACCTACAAAAAGGTTAGTCTAAGGAGGTTTCAAGGTTCGGTGAGAGTTTAGGGCGTCGATTTTGGCTTGTACTGCTCCAAGTGCCAAGACTACGACAGAGCTCACCAGCTTGGGCCATCACAACCCTCCACACCTAACCACGACGCTCAACGGCAAACCCATGCACCCTGACAGTTTCTGGCTCAGTTTGAGGGTCTTCCGCTTCCTGTTTCTATTTCCAGGAAGGTGACTACAGGTGACTGCAGGTCTAGTCTAGCCCATCTGAAGCAGTTATCCATTCTCACTTGCAGGTTGAGGGGACCTGGTCTCCACGCCCCGAGGTGGCTTCAAGACAACGACTCACCGAGAAAGTCGTATCCAGAAAATGCGACACGTGAACTTCAGAAAGCATGAAACCAAGAAACGGCGAGGGCTGCAAAGAGTCCAACCCTCTCTTTCGGCTGGATCGAACAAGTCGCCACTGCTTCTGAGGACGACTCAAGACTAAATACAAGCACGTGACATTCCCGGCACCTCATCTTTGAACTTGCTACTCTTAGGCGCAGGTCTGCGTCACAAATTGCGAAGGTAACACTGTGGTTCCTCGGGGGTGCATGGCTGCCTCTTCTTGCCACTGCGTGACATGCTGAGGTATGGCTTTGATGCTTTCATTCCGACCGTCATGCGAAGCTCATCGATGAGGCGACACCAGTTTGAGGACAAAGCGCAGACCCAGGCATCAGCCTCCAAAGCGAGCTCCAAGTTCATGAAGGCGATGAGAGCCTGGGTCGTGCTTCCCCCGCTGCCCCCGCTTCAAGGATCTGCCTTGGGCATGACTCATGGGACACAGGGCATCGCAGGGCACTTAGGCGACTTAGGCTCAAAACCAAGGAGCTTCCTGCCTTGCGGCCTCCTGGCTCTGAACGTGCATCCAGGTATCCCGGTGGTTGGATGAGCGATTCACCTTAGTCCAAGTGACTTGCCAAGGCGGATCTGCGGAGCAAAGCTTCAAGGCCTTCTGAAGAGTGGGCTGGTCTTCTGTGGATAAGAAGATCTTCCGCTCCGAGTACGTGCCAGCTGGATAAGAAAAGTTCCTGTCGCTCTCGGCGACTTCCTTGAAGAGCACGCGCAGTTCTGAGCTATTGTCTGCCAGGGCCTCCATTTGCTTCAGGTACACCTCCAAGGGAAACAGTCGCGCTTCACGTCCCTTTTCACCTTGACGTACATGCGCAGAGATGTGACCAGGCGACAAGATATCAGCCGGTGAAGGTATGGGTGCATCGCAAGTATAGAGGGAGTCAGACCTAAAGCGGTCCAATGCTTTGCGAGTCCTGTCATTGAAACGGGTTAAGTACGTGACAGACTGTGATCGCCACCAGTAAAACCAGGACTTCGATTTGATAGGAGAGCAGTTGGCCAACATCTCTTGGAAAACAACGGGCACACTCTGCTCATGAAAGTTCTCTGCTGGTTGGCGTCCCTTGATGGCTGGCGTCCCATGGATTTGCAATACATCTTTGCCGACATGGCACGAGGTCATGTTCTGCAGCCAGCACTCGTAGCCCGACGCTCCGGGGCAAAAACTGGAATCGTAAATTTTCATAAGAGGGTCTTTCGGGGAGATCACCAGGACTCGGCCCAGGTTCATGGCTATGGCCAATGCTTGCCCCAACCAGTGTAGCTGCGAACCGATACCTGCTTCGTGGTGAAAATAGAGCAGGAAACTGGCATTGCTGCAATTCACAGGATGCTGATGCTCCCATATCAACTTTTGGGCATAAGCTGTTCCGTACAGGACCTCGTGACTGCCCAACGTGGTACCTTGTCGAACCACGGACCAAGGATATCGGACAGGGTCGAACCCAGACCGTTTGAGATCTTGATCCATGTGGTATGCGGCGCAGGAAGTGTTACCCTGGGCCGACTCAAGTCTGTAGATATGGTTCTGCACCGATCGGATTGCCGGAGAATCGGTGGGCAACGCTGAAGCGGCTGTTGTTGTTGTTGTTGTTGCTACTGACGTTGTTGCTGTTTCTGCTGTTGCTGTT